CACACACACACACACACACACACACACACACACACACACACACACACACAAAGGGGGTCCGAAATCCCCCGACAGGTGAGTGCACTGCGGGGGCCCGGCCCGGCCAGGCCGCTCGGGACCTCCCCCAGGCCCCTGCCGGTCACCCTGGCGGCCCGGATGAAGCTGCTGTCTGAGTTCATGATGTGCAGTTTAGCGATGCATATTTTGCTCTCTGAGTTCATGATGTGGAGTTTAGGGACAGTGGGAATCTCGTTAATCCATTTATACACGTCACTAATATATAACGAGGCATTTTGCTGCCGTAAGAGAAGTACTTGCTTATGACGAGTACGAAAAGGATCATAAGCATACTTGCGGCGCATGCTGTGCGCAGGGTCGTGGCACGTGCGGTGCAGAGTCCTTGCGCATGCATGCGTGTGCACGTGATGCAGGGCATCACAAAAAAAATAAAGAAAAAAAAGTACAGGGTGGGGTGGCCAAACATGCCCCTCGCTTCTAAAAATCAAACTGCGAGAGGGAAAAAAGTTGGGGCCACATCATGCCACAAAATTGTGAGTGCATCTATGCGCATGTGGGTGTGCATGTCCTAATTGTGTACTGTGACTCCAGTCTCTTTTCCGAAGGGCCCCTACGCCGAATTAGCAAGGACCCATCGTGAAGCAGAGATAGGCGTTAGACTTCCCGTTTCGCATGAGTGGGCCGAGAATATATACTCTGGATTCGAATTCAGGTCTGTGTATCAGTGGTTATGGGTCACTAATTCTCTGTTTTTTCATTTTGTTTTCTTAGGATCTGTTTTTTCGTTTTGTTTTCTTAGGAATACGTGCAGTGGCCCTAAGGGCCTCTACTCACCACATGCACAATACACAACATATATGGTCGCTTATTATTCCACGTTCTGTTTTTTCATTTTAATTTTGCACATTTGGTGAGTAGTGCAACCAAGCCCTGAGAATCACGTGCAGACACTACGGAGACCAGCAGGGCCTAGCTAAGTGAGCAACCCATAACTGCTGAAACACAGAACTGAATTTGAATCCGGAGTATATATTCGGACAGCTCCTGCTCCACTTCATACTCGTTGCCTGCCTGGTTTTGGTGGAGGGTTACCTTAATTTGCTGCGAGGACCCTTCAGCTTACCTGCAGGGGCCCTCTGATATGTGTGAAAGGGATCCTTTGCTCTCTCTCTCTCTCTCTCTCTCTCTCTCTCTCTCTCTCTCTCTCTCTCTCTCTCTCTCTCT